CTTTAAAATAAAAATATCAGTCATTATGTAATGTGTGTTTGTGGATGGCCCGGGGGGGGGGGGGGTTCATTTCCCAAATCCTGCTTATTTGTAATATTTCCCAATTTTCCACTTCAAGTTTTTCTTCTGTTTCCCAGATCTCATTTTGACCCCTAAATCACACATCCCAAAAGGCGTGTCCCCCTCTTACTTATATGGTAGCTTTAGACACAGTAAATATAGGGATACATAATGTATATAAATTGTTCATTCATGTTTTTATACTTGGGTTTTGAGAAATCTTTCTTTTGTAAATACCATAACGAAATAAATACTTAAATAAGAATTAACAAGAAATCAAATGTGTAAGTTCCCGGATCGTTTAATTGGTATTAAATTTAATTACTATATCTATCATTGTCAATAAAAAAAATGAAATGTCTTTAAATTCAGAAGACGGTTATACAAGACCATGTGTACAAAGTAATTTGGTTTTATACATCAATGTTTGTACATAATATATTTACAGGCGAATAAATTTTCTATGTATTTATGTAACAATGGGCGTGTAAATGTTACGTAATAGAAATATACCATTGGCTAGCGAAGATTTTAAACCTGTATTACTACGCCTTGCTGTGCGCATGTTTGTTTTGTCTATTACATAACGAGGGACGCCGTAAATATTGGGGAAGAGTGTTTCTTAATCTATAATTCTTTAATCTTAAGTACAATGACTGTACTAAAATAGGGTGTAAAATAATTGACCATTTTCACACAAACTAATGTTACTTATTAAAAAAAAAAAAAAACAATATAACCAAACGTATGTACTTTGATCAATTGTCAACAAATTTGTTGATTAAAACTTTACATAGATTGTCTCAGTTCGTTAATATATATATGGACGCCACAGGTACTTGTCTGAAAAAAAATTCCTATATCCTTTATATAAGTGTTATATTTAAGTATATTAGGGGGGGGGGGTGAATTTCAGAGACAAGTGCCTGTGATGGACGCCCGGGTCAGGTCTTCAATCAGATCGCTTATTAAATCATGATGAGTTCCTGCATAATTGCTCTATATTGTCAAAACCACAAAAATCCAAATCATCATGAGTGTTTTTCGATTTCTGTAGATCTCACGTCGGAAAAAGACATCGAATCAAAAATTCTTTAAGTTGATTATGAACAGAGACATACAATACAATTGTACATGTTTTATATGTCTCTGTTTTGACTAAAACACAAATATGTCAAAAATTATTCTTACACCCCCCGTGGCGGATCAAGGGATGAAGAGGGCGTACGCCCCTGTCTTTGATCACCCCCAAAAATAACCATATCATGTTTTTCACGATTTAAATGATTTTAAGCACAAAATCGTCCATATTTTTTTCCATTGGCGGTGTATGATTCATTTTATTGAATTACGCCCCTTCTTTTAAAAAAAATCCTGGATCCGCCCACTGATCCCTCCAACAGCAAGACCGGTACTCATGGGATGTCCGTGCCATCTCATTCGATCTAATGGGCTATTCATACCCCGCTATGACATATGAGGGAATTTTATTTCGGTATGGACTCCAGCAACTGCATATATATTTTTTAAATCTACATTTAAAGGGTAGCTCTGTCTGAATAAACGAAAAAAAAACACTAATCTGATTTTACTGTGTTTAGTATCAGAATTACCCCGAACTCCGATGATCTGTAGTGCAATGTGACTATCCGATGCTGGACAGACTGAAGTACAATGATCTAACTTATTGATTGATTGTTTGTTGCTTAATGTCCAGTGGTAATTATTTCATGAATGTCCAGGATGAAACTTATTGAAAGTTGGTCTATAAACATGTATATATGTAATATAACATCTTAAGCACTAGTTTTAACTGATTGCCCTTTTGTCTGTTTTTTAGTAGTAAAATTCAATGTAGTTTGCTTTACGTGTAAAGGACTCTCGTTTTTGCACTGACGCGACGTTTAACAATAACTTATCAATCAATCGTTCGTGGTCACGCTGGAAAGCGATGGTTTCATATCGGAACTCTCCATACTTTTTCAACGATTCAACAAAGTAGAGTAGCGTCATCCTGAAAATCACATGTACGTGTAATATATTCGATCGGACGGTAAGAAGCTATCAGTCTCGCAATTTCACAATACTAGTACGTAGAAACCATAAGCCAACATGCACAAGAATTTAAAGTCTTTCAATTTTGCAATCTTTAAAACGAATGTTGTCTACTCAATGTGTGTAAACACTTCTATTTGGAAGCTTTACGTCATTGTTCAACTAAATTCAGCATATCCATATCTCCACAACTATTCAATAACAACAGTGAAATTAGTGAAAATGATCGAACTGTATTATGAATTTATGTTGTCCATCAAAGTTGTCTGTTTTGTTAAGAGATTTTCCATTTATTTGTGAACCACTAAATATAAAATATTTTGAAACATCGTGGGCCAACTCTTGGAAAGTGAAATCATCCAAGAGCAAAAATCGAACTCAGCCTGTATTTGTTCATTAGATTCCAAGAAATGAGGGTTACCAGAGGGACAACCATGTGCATTATAAGATACCACTTACCCTGTCTAATAGATGAGGGTTACCAGAGGGACAAACATGTGCATTATAAGATACCACTTACCCTGCCAAATAGATAGGGGTACCAGAGGGACAAACATGTGCATTATAAGATACCACTTACCCTGCCTAATAGATGAGGGTTACCAGAGGGACAACCATGTGCATTATAAGATACCACTTACCCTGCCTAATAGATAGGGGTACCAGAGGGACAAACATGTGCATTATAAGATACCACTTACCCTGCCTAATAGATGAGGGTTACCAGAGGGACAAACATGTGCATTATAAGATACCACCTACCCTGCCTAATAGATGAGGATACCAGAGGGACAACCATGTGCATTATAAGATACCACTTACCCTGCCTAATAGATGAATTTTATCAGAGGAACAAACATGTGCATTATAAGATACCACTTACCCTGTCTGATAGATAGGGGTACCAGAGCGACAAACATGTGCATTATAAGATACCACTTACCCTGCCTAATAGATGAGGGTTACCAGAGGGACAAACGTGCATTATAAGATACCACTTACCCTGTCTAATAGATGAGGGTTACCAGAGGGACAACCATGTGCATTATAAGATACCACTTACCCTGCCTTATAGATGAGGGTTACCAGAGGGACAAACATGTGCATTATAAGATACCACTTACCCTGCCTAATAGATAGGGGTACCAGAGGGACAAACATGTGCATTATAAGATACCACTTACCCTGCCTAATAGATAGGGGTACCAGAGGGACAACCATGTGCATTATAAGATACCACGTACCCTGCTTAATAGATAGGGGTACCAGAGGGACAACCATGTGCATTATAAGATACCACTTACCCTGCCTAATAGATGAGGGTTACCAGAGGGACAAACATGTGCATTATAAGATACTACGTACCCTGCCTATTAGATGAGGGTTACCAGAGGGACAACCATGTGCATTATAAGATACCACTTACCCTGCCTAATAGATGAGGGTTACCAGAGGGACAAACATGTGCATTATAAAATACCACTTACCCTGCCTAATAGATGAGGGTTACCAGAGGGACAAACATGTGCATTATAAGATACTTCTTACCCTGTCTAATAGATAAGGGGTACCAGAGGGACAACCATGTGCATTATAAGATACCACGTACCCTGCCTAATAGATAAGGGGTACCAGAGGGACAAACATGTGCATTATAAGATACCACTTACCCTGCCTAATAGATAGGGGTACCAGAGGGACAAACATGTGCATTATAAGATACCACTTACCCTGCCTAATGAATGAGGGTTACCAGAGGGACAACCATGTGCATTATAAGATACCACTTACCCTGCTTAATAGATAGGGGTACCAGAGGGACAAACATGTGTATTATAAGATACCACTAACTCTGCCAAGATAGGGGTACTACAATTAACACAAGTAAAGTTTTTCAAGAAGACATGAAACTTTTCTGTCAGCAACTAGTATTTTCCATACATGCATGTCAGTCATTTGTGTTTCCACTTGAAATACCTGCATACTTTCCAGTCCAACGACCAAAGATTGTCCTGAGATTAAACCGTAAACAGCTGAATTACATGTATTGTTTCCTCTGATAAGTTTACAGACTACATGATAGACCACCATTGTTAATGATCATAGTGATAGTGTTTTAGTCTCTGTCTTCCTTTGTTCACATTTTTATGATGTTTTTGGAAAGCGATTATCTATCTGTCCCACCTTTTTTAATTGGTACCTAGGTCTTTTGCTTACTGAATTTTGTTCGTTTACCCACTGATGTATTTATTGCTATGTTTGAGTTTTTGAAAAGAAGTATTTTATTTCTTACCTAATCAAAATAAATTTTAGCAAGACTGTCATTTCCTTTCAGAAATTATGAGGTACATTTTTGTGATACTCCAAATTCCTAACTATGTAATAAAATTTAGAATGGAAATGAGGAATGTGTCAAAGAGACAACAACCCGACCAAAGAGCAGAAAACAGCTGAAGGCCACCAATGGGTCTTCAACACAGTGAGAAAATCACGCACCCCGAGGCAGGTTTCAAATGGACCCTAAACAAAAATATGTACTAGTTCAGTGAAAACAGATGCCACACTAAACTCCAAAACATATAAATGAACTAAAATTAAAAAATATACAAGGCTAACAAAGGCCAGAAGCTCCTGACTTGGGACAGGCGCAAAATTTTTTGAAGAATTAACACATATTCACCTTCCATCTGCACATACTATATATTGTTAGCTTACTTCATTGAAGACCATTCAGTGAAACTATTAAGGGGTTTTATCTATTGATTTTTACGCTTTGAATTTTAGTCCTTGTTTTTTTATGTCTCAATGATGCATACCCAACATTTCCTTATATCTAAATCATACTTGTCTACATCTTTTCATTTTCATATAAAAATAAACTAACATTTTTCAAAGTACTACTTTAATGTGGCAATTGCACTGGTTGACAAAGTTTACTGGCACAAGATGAGAAAAAGTGTTAAAAGCACAGAGCGTTTTCATTTTTAAAACAAATAGCTTAAAACAAGTATTTATCATATACATGTACATAGACTTTATATATATATATATATATAATATTTCTTTATACTTTAGGAGGATAAAAAAAGAAGACACAGATAAGTACCAAGTTGTGAACAAAAGGTAGGAAACATTTTAAACTTCAAAAGGCAAAATAAATTTATACATTAAATTGTACTTAAAGAAAAACTGTACAGAATTTGACTTGAGGAGAGTAATAAAAATACAGATTTATTTTTTATGTTCAATAACAAATCTTTCATACAGTGAATAAAAATTAAAATAACACGAAGTTTACCTCATGTACAAATGTATTAGAAGTTATATATGGAATAGTTGGTCATTTCCATCAATGTGCATGTACTTGTGGTATTAACTATTAAATATAATAATGCTATTTTTTAAAAAAGAAATGCCCAATTATGAAAAAATCTCATCAGAAAAACAGTATAGAGTAGTATGAAAAATTTACCAAAATTGATGAAATTATTCTAGTCAATAGAATTAAAAAAAAAAAAGACTTAAACAAACCAGTATTTAAATCATCTAGATCAATATGTCTACTCCACATTACATGTATTTTAATATAAACAAACAATTAGCAAAAAAGCAAGCACTCCAACAAGGTTTTTCTTCATTTGATGAATAAACTGTGATGACATTAAATTCAAAAGAACGCCTGTCAAAAAAGTTAAACGACCATTTGTTTGACAAATCTGTGCATTATATGCAAAAATATAATTCAGCACAATTCAGTACAAATATAAGAAATTGGCTACTAATTTATGTTTCCATAGTAACACAGATAAACAAGAAAATCTATGATGGTGAGTACAGTCAATTATAACAAGTACATAACAATGTGATAACAGATGAACTCTATTTTATAAATGAATATTTTGAAATCAATGACCCATATTCAAATAATCCATACTAAACCTTCCTAACAGAAAGACATTCGTTTATTCCATGGAGGTTACAAAACTACTTTCAGTAAATTATCTTGGATTACAAAGTACATTTTTATAATTAAAGAAGAGTTCGAACCAAAGTATTATGATCACCATTAGTATCTTAACTGGACAAATTTTATGACAGAACATTTGATGGTCATTTAGGGGGAAAAAAGATAAATATTGTATGTTTGTTTTTATAACAAAGGTTTAGGATGACATATGTGTACAATATAAGAGGTATTTCTACTGATTGTTATCTTATGTAATATTACTTAAAACAAAAGATAATGTACAAGTGTATATATAACTGTATGTATATAATATATAAGCTAAAATGAGGTACAAATGTTTCAAAGAAGTGATGTTAAAAGATTTACTGTTATTCCTGAGACATATGAATGAGGTACGGGTATGCTATTACCTGATTTATATAGTATATAAATTATAGAGGAGGGGAGGGTTATATTTAATCTGTTAGAGTTAATTACATTACTTAAGTGTAGATATATTCTGTTATGTTTATCCATAATTACATTTATACTGTAAGGGGATGCAGGGAATACTTCAATGAGACAGCAACCCTTACAAAACAAAACAAAATTATATCTAGCATTTAACAAACTGTCAAGACATTTTTGTATTCAACATGGTCATATATTTTTACTATCACATGAATAAATGCAGTCAAAAGAAATATGATATGATATATATCTTTCACAATTTGACTGTAGCATAATAATTTTCAGAAGCATAAAAATTTCAAGTCCCCCCATTTTTGTCCAATTTTATACTAGAAGTATAGATATATTTATGTCATCAATAACAATAATAAGTGTTTATTGTTCAAAAATAACAAATTATGACTAGTTCTTTTTATGAATATGAAAAAGTTCTTGGTAAGAAATGTCCATGTAAATGTAGCTATAGATGTACTTGATTTTAAATAATGCATGGCACTGAAAAACCCATACCACCGTAAATTAAAATAAATTATAAATGCAAATATATGACTTCCAAACTTACTATTTGAAAGCTTAAGAGGTACTTATTCTACACTGTACATTTTATAACAACAAACAATTTGACTGTTCTCAAAAGCATAGATTTTCATTTTTTATCGCTTTCAGCGAGCCCAATACAAAAGTTCTGAACAACCAGTAAGGTCTCACAGACCTATATGTGTATAACAATCTATGTACTCCAAGTTTGGAACAAAAATAACATCAAAAATTTGTAACTGTGTTACTATATTGCCTTTCTTGTATGGTGTTGTGCATTAGGACATTCTTTGCTAGGCAAAAATCTATGAAAATGATATGCTGCCTGAGAAATTAACGTAATATGGATTTACAGAAATAAACAACCGGTAAATAACATAACTTCAAGTCTACAAGTAACAAAAAATTGCCTTTTAAAAATTGTCTTTCATGTCTTTGTAATGTTAACATAAAATATTTCAAACTATAATTTTATAATTCTATAAGAATATTAGTCTAAAAAATCTAGTTAATTATTTTAGATAAGGAATTAATATAACTTCTTTCATAAAACGTTTCCAAACAAATTAAAAATAAATGTGTAAAATCAATCTTATTATCATTACAGGCCTGAGAGAAAAACAATTTTCAAAAGGCTTAAAAGTAATATAAACAACTTAAGCTAATATATATATTTACATCATAGCATATGAGGTAATAAGGTTTTAAAACCAGCTTTTAAGCATATTTGCCTATTAAGCCTACAATAATAATACAATACCCGTTTTATCCAACGTCAGAGACAAAAAAAAAACAGTTAATATACATATCATACAAACAAAAGACATAATCACAAAGTAGCGCATATAATTTCTTTTGAAGATTCATTTGTCTAAATCAACAAGTGATATATTTTTTTAGAATTATTTGGTTGGTGAGTTGACATTGTACAAATTATGTACAGTGTAGTTTTCCTCAAACAGTGCAGCAAGTATTTCAAATACCTGAAGTCCCATTATTTTTGTACAAGATTTTTCTGAACTTCTATGTCCTTAAATATACAACTTCAAATATTAAAATGTAGCTGAAATATTGCAAAAAAAATTACTAAAATCTAGTATTGCCATTCTACATTTCATGAATATCTATAACAATTTTTCAGCATGTCTTTAAAACACACCAACCTGTCAAATGGAGAAAAAAGTTTGCAAATTAAAAAAAAAAAAGAGTTAATTTTTTTTTTTGTAAATACATAAATCTGAAACAAATATTTTCTTTAGTAAGTGCAACATCATCATATGCAGTTATCAATCTTAAATATTACCATTCCAAAAGGTCAAATTTAATATTTGAAATGATTTGCTGGTAATTATAAGGATAAAACATTATTGATTTAAAACAAATCTTTCAAAAATGAGTATCAAAATCATTTAAGAAAAAAACTGAACATCCTTCCAATATTTTTTTAAGGAATCTTGTGGTTTGTTTTTCTTGGCAAATGCTTCTCTGTTAAAGAAAATTAACAAAATAATAATCTTTTGAAAAAAAGTATGCATTTGATATGCTGTCCACAATTTGTTTTTGTCAATGTTGATTTTAATCTGCCTACATTTAGAATTAAATGTACAGATAAAAATAATGTCATCTTCAAAGACTGTAATTTCTAAATTAAAAGAAGAGTTTTTGGAAAACTCTTGTACAAAAAAATGAGTAACAAACAATGAAAGGGAAAGGATATCATATACCCTAACAATAAATGTAAAGATATATAATCTTTTTCATCACAAACAATGCTATTAAAGAACATGCAAAAATAGTAAAATACAAGCACATAATTTTTTCAACAAGCACCGGAAATGCAATATCATTAAAAAAAAACAAACACATATTCCATTCTAAAAGCTAGATTATATATACTACACTAATATAACAAAAATATTAAACATTTTCCAGTGAATATAATACTTCAAACAAACCTTGCATTTCTCATTAATCATTCATTGTCTCATGTGTAAAAGGGATAAAGCATGGGTACAAAAATAACACCTTCACCAGAATCAGCATTTTTTTTTCACAACTAAAAAATTCAACCCTCCCCAAATATATCTTTGTAAGTGACTTTATTTCAAATTTCATAAATCAATTTGTGCTTCAAAATTGTATGATCTCCTTTAATTATATTTTCTTTTAATTTACAATGTAATATATTTCTTTCTTTTTCCCAAAAATTTTGTAGAAACACAATTTCTATTTATCACAACTACAAAGTCAAAATCTAATGTGGCTAAACATTAATGTTGTAAACAACTCCCTGACCCAAATGATCTCATCTAGTGACCAGGTCATGTGAGTGTTTTTATGACCATTAAATAACAAGAGAAGGCCCAAAATGACCCATCACATGGGAATGTCCAGCTTAATATGCATGTCCAATTCAAGCTGGAGGGCAAAGGAAAATGTTATGTCAAAAATCTGGCAAAGATAATAGTAAACAACAGGATATCCACATTACCATGGGAAATTAATTAATTCCAAGCCTTAAAATTAACAATAAGCCATTGAGGTTACTAAAGGTGAAACAAATATAATAGGGTTTTGCTCTATTCCAAAAAAATAATAGATGTAATTACATTTTTATCAATGTTTTGTTTTTTAATTAATTTATTATGGATAGAAATAAAATATAATAAATGTAAAGAATGTATTTTAATAGCAATATTTTAATATGCTTAATTTGTAATGACTGCTTAAACTGGCACTCCCAGATATATATATACAATACATGTAACCCCCTTTCTTTATAACAGAAAATGCTTAGAATCCTAGGTCCTTTTCTGACTTAACATCTCGTGATCATAAAGGAAAATATTACTACCTTCATATATTTATACAAACTATGACACATGGAGACACTACACAAACCAGGGTAATGTGTATTTCTAGAGTACAAGTTCAATTCCCCATTTAGCTTAAAACAATTTCCTTACACATCAATAAATTTAAAATAAAAAATATTGCTAAATCAAAATCAATAGTATTTAGTCTATAAAATATTCAACATTTGGAAATGCAATTTCACTGAAAACTATATGCCAAAGGATCAATCAATCACATACATGTTGCAAGAAAGAAAAATTCTGATAATACTAATAATAATAAGCTTATGTCTAAACATTTTAGCAAACTCTTTCTCATAAAACCTACATGTAACACATTCTCAAAGCTTGCATCCTTACAATGCAATTTATTTTATGAAGGCTCAAGAAAACCACCAGCAAATTTTGTATTTAGCCAGTGATAACAATTAAAAATCTACTACACAAGTAAAATTCCTGAATGGTACATATTAACAAATTTTCAATAAGTTTTAAATTATGGGCAAGATTGTATATCAATATATTATATCATTTTTATTTACTGACCAAATTCCCTGCTTGGATTAACATGAAATGTTTGATCAGCATAGATATAGTCATGGTCATGTTTCCCTTAGCAACTAATATAAACATCAATTTTAGGGAACATAATGTACTATGCTTTTGAGAGGTAGCTTTTTTTCAGACCTTTATTTTTTCAGAACTTTATCCTAAAATAAACCACTTGATTTTAATTAGTCTTTCATTTTATATATTGTTTTAAAAACATTTTATTTTTTTGATAACCAAATGGAAAATATTGGTTAATTTAATTTGTAATCAACAGAATGAATAATTTTTTTCAGTTTTAATCATGTTGATTTAATTTTTAAAAAGTTACATGTTCAAATGGTCGTAGTTTTTAATAAGGATTTTTTTTATATATAAATATATACATAGTAAAATGAAACAATACTTGTATGAAACTTTTTAATATTTTCTTTTGAAGAAGTTTAAAAAACATCTATCGTGTCTATTCATACCTGTATTTCTAATAACTTATCAATTAAATGTGCCATCCGATTACACTTAAAATAAAAACAAAAATATTTTTAATTTTTTGAGGTGCATACTGGTTATTATCACTTACATGACCTATTGAAGAAAATGGGGAAAGTATATATATATATGTAAATGTTAAAATCTTGATCTCTTTAATACTCTAAACTTTATTTTTTTTTAATCAAAATTATATGATTATTTTTCTAATCTTTAAAATCTGACATTACATTGTAGGTACTGGCTATTTGTCTTTCAAACATCCAAGACATTGGACACTGATATCTAGAATATTTGTATATAAGCCTTAATCTCGCACAAATAACATGCATGAATGCTGAAAACACAACTAATTCCCTGAGCTTTGTGCCTTTGGCATGTGAAAATAAACCTGAGTCTATCACTTTTAGCGACAATAATAATGACAAGAAAGGAAAAAAAGACATAGCTTTACTCCGAGTATAAAACAATCAAGTTCAGACTTCAAGCTAACTCAGTAAATCAAAAGCAAAACAATCTGACTTATATATACAAGTGCTGCAAAATGCTTTCAGCATTGACATTCATACAATTATAACAACCCAGGCCAGTCATCATATTCTTATTACCAAGCATTTTCATATCATGCGTGAGGATAATCTAGTGTACAGTACAAGAGTAAAAGTACGCAGTTTCTGAAACTGTTTTCTTTTCCTGAAATATGAACTTGATTGCTATAATGCTCTTATTCAATAACATTGAATTTTGTCTACCCTTAAAGGGAAAAAGCAAGCAAGAAATAACAATATTCAAAATAACTGTACACGATTGTTTCCAAAATCAACAACAACAAGAAGCCCCTCTGGGGTTAAACAAATACCTGAAGGCCTATCCATTTGACCCGGACCTGTACCTGGTGTTCCAAATTTGCACATAAAGTTGCCATTTGGCTGAAATACTTGAATGCGATGATTCCTGGAATCTGTGACTATAATGTTACCCTCTTGATCTACAATCACTCCCTGAGGACGCAAGAATTGTCCATTACCAGAACCTTCTGTTCCAAGAAATCTTGCTGTTTGAAAGTCAGGGTGTATCACAAGTAAACGATGGTTGTTAAAATCAGTAACAACCATGTGTCCTTCATTATTAAAGCAGACACCTCTTGGAGAATCAAAGTGTTTCCATAAGGATCCTTCAAATCCATATTTGTTCAAGAATTGTCCTTCGGCACTAAATAACTGTACACGATGGTTTCGTGTATCTGAAACTAATATTTTTCCTTCAGAATTCAGTGCAACATCCCATGGATAGTTGAATTGGCCATTTTTATTTCCCTTCTCACCAAATTTAATAAGAAAATTGCCATCAATAGTAAATTTTTGGATTCTATGGTTGTCCTTATCTGCAACGACTACATTTCCCTGTGAATCACAAGCAACACCTGCTGGTCGATCAAATTGCCCAGGCCTTGTTCCTGCAGATCCAAACCTGTGATGAAAAGTGCCATCGGGGTTAAACACCTGAACTCTATTGTTGCTTCGGTCTGCAACAATTATATAATTATCCTTATGACAACATACTCCCCATGGACGACAAAACTTGCCTTCCTCTTCTCCTTCTCCACCAAACTGAAGAAAAAGCTGTCCAACTGTCATATAGTTTCGACCACTTCTTACTTGCACTATAAAGGGACTATCTGCAATATGCTTGCCACGAATTGTTATAGAAATGATATGTTTTCCTTCCATTTGTGGACGATAAGATATGGTATATGTTCCATTCTGACGATCAAGAACTTCAGTCCTATACAATGCACCTTCAGGACTTTGTATTATACATTCAACAGGATCTCCACCTATCATTCTTGGCTCTCCATGGTGGTCTTTGGCATGAATCATGCACATTGAAACCTTCCCTTTTAATGCTTTTTTCAAGCCATCACCTGTTGCTATGCAGTTTGGTGCATATGCACTGCTGCTTATTATTCCCATTTTGCTGATAGCATTATATAAAGCAGCATCAGGAGGTGTAAACATAATGTTATCATCTTCATGAGGTTGTAAATGACCTCGGAGTTTGCGCACATTTTGCATTTCATTCACAATTATTCCCCTTGCATTGAGTGAATCCATATCAGTACCCGTATTCAGCATGTTTTCAACATGATCAACAGTTTGCATAAGAGATGAAAGACCTTGCTTTAAATCGTCGATTTGCAGATGCAATGATTTTCCCTTAACCTGTCTAACCTTTTCTACATGTCTGAGTAAATCACGTTCCCTTTCCTCCAATGCAATCATATGGCGTCGAGTTGTTGCACGGACTTCATTTGCTACTGCCTGGGATCTTACTTCAGTGTGTTCAGCCATATTCTGAGAATTTTCAATACCTTCTTCTAAAGCTTTAATACTTAGTTTTGCATCAGTAAGAAGTCGCACGGTGATGGCTTTTGAATTTTCAACAGCATCATGGAGGTAGATACGATTATGTCCAATATGATCAACCATGGTGCACTCACGACATATTGCCACTGAACAGGTATCACAGAAAAAACAGAGAATTTCATGTTCATGTCTTGGACAACTGTTTGATAAAGAATCTGGAAGCTGTATGTTTTGAGGGAGTGATGAGGGTGAACTTAAGGGAGCAGCAAGTGAACTATAATGTGGTCTACTACGGTTCATTAAAAGACGTTCAATATAATGATCTTTAGTCAATCTCACACGTTGATGTGCCATCACACAGTTATCACATAGGTATTCATTGCAATTTTTACACACAGCTGTTGCTTTACTTCCCTCCTCACACGAACTACACCATCGTGTCCCCGTGATTGGCCTCTCTCCATTAGTTTCGTAGTCTTCATGTTGTACCATTGCCTCAAATAAATTCGAAACAAACAAATTTGAAGGAAGATTATCAATACCTTCAGGTCCCAGTGATACACTTTGTTGACATGTTGGGCACCGAAGAACACCTTGATCTTGTCCTTGATCCCTGTTGATAGCCTGTTCCAAACACCGCCTGCAAAATGAGTGAAGGCAAGGCAATATTCGAGGATCGTCAATTCTATTGAGGCAAACAGGACACGCCAACTGCTCCCCGACTGACTCCGAATATGCGGCCATTGGGCGAGGTAGTTCATGAGCCTGATGAGGTAGATTGGTTTGAAAAACCGAGGTGTTTGTGATCCTACATGGCGATTTGTCTTGCTCACAAAACGAGGTCGACTATTATGGACACTTGGTAACCTTCCAAATATGTGTTTTAGTCATTCATTCTCACACGGATCCCATTACAAGTAAAAGTTTATAGTAATAAATGTTGTTATGTTATAATTGCGATAAGGTTAACTTACAATCAACTCAGCTTTGAAATAAACGCAATAACTTCATATCTTGTGAAAGTTCCGTTCGCCCTGTGCAAGACGCCATTTTCTCCCCTCATCAATAGGAGGCGTGGTTAAACAAATTTTTCTGCGGTCAATGTGCCACAGCCGACCAATCAAAATCAATAGGTAAATACGGAACTATTTCATTCATATTTTTTTACAAACAAGCATACTATGACCTTTGGTAACCAGGTCAACCTGACATTTCATTCCCAGATGCCATCGTAAAGATATATAAAGAATTTAAAAACAAAACAATTTCTGTTTCGTGAATGTTCTAACAAAAGAACTTATTGAAGGCAAAACAAAGATATTGTATTGGAATGAATGGCTGTAATAGAGGGTAGGAATGGGGTACCTCACATGACGAACGACAGAAACTGAATATTTAACGTTAACGATAAACATTTTACTCCATTTAACTCTAACGGTAGCTACATAATAAGATTTGACGAAGGACGATAAAAAAAATTATGGCTCATTTGCCGTTTGATGCTTGACGATAAAGGGCATTCCTACCCTCGAAATAATACGGTATTTATTCCACAGAAGCTGTTTCTTTGCTTTTGTGTGTTTTTTGCTGTGCATGTGTAAATGCTCTTTTGTTCCGACGTTGGAAAGTTCCGGGCGGAAAGAACTAACTAGCCGAAAAGTTCCGGAGGAACTTATTAACTAGTTACTTTGTTCTTCCTCTGGTTTAAAAGTTCCACCGGAACAAAGTGACTAGTTGAAAAGTTCCAACGGAACATATCAACTAGTTAGAAAGTTCCTTTTTGCCAAATTAGTCAAAACCGGAACTAACAAACTAGCCCAAAAGTTCCAACGGAACTTATCAACCAGACAGAAAGTTCCATTTGGAGAATTGATGCAAAGTAAAAGCGCAACATATTATATTTGAACCTTTCAAAGGGAAACCAAGATACTGATTACAAAAGTCAAAAGGAACTTATCAACTAGCCACAAAGCTCCTCTTTGGCAAATAAGTCAAAACCGGAACTAACAAACTAGCCCAAAAGTTCCAACGGAACTTATCAACCAGTCACAAAGTTCCTTTTGGAGAATTGATGCAAAGAACCACACGAGGAGGGGGGTATTCTTCCCTCTCTTGAGCGTACTATGAATACTAAATTTGCGTGATAATGCAACTTATTCCGTTTTATGTGAGCTATGAAATACAACTTAAATTTTGCATATTTATCCCCAAAGAAACCCCTTTCAGTGCGTTGGGTATTCTTGTAAATCAATGATTTGCTCTTATATATACTGATACTCATTCTTCCCCCTCTTTCTACAAAAGGACGAAATATGGTATATTCAGAACGATGTAACTAGTTGTTCTGTTCCGCCAGAACTATTCAACTAGCTACATTGTTCCGGGACTTTTCAACTAGCATTTCTTTTCCGGAACTTTTCGACTGCACTCGGAATAAAACAACTAGTTGGAAAGATTCATCGGAACGAAATAACTAGTTGAAAAGTTCCGCCGGAACAAAGTAACTGACGGAACAAAGTGGCTGTTACACATGTACCGATTTTGTGTCATGGATGGATACCCCATATTCTCTGTTTTTCTATTAGATGTAATTATTTAGCAATCAGACTACATATCTACATACATTCTCGTCCTGAATTTGCATGAAACATTTGCCACTGGGCCCGGTTAGACAAACAACAAACAAGCACTCATTTAATTTTTGTTTTTATTTTAAATGTAGTAAAAATTTTGTGAATGATATTGGATGGTGGTCCATAATTTCTGAATTCTTTATTTTTTTAGGGCATTTTTCTCTACCTTTAAAAAAAATGCTTATTCTGTAAAATTCTCATAAAAATGATTATACTCTTATATTATTTTTTTCTGTAATTATACGATTTCTTTATTCTGTACATTTCTCAGCTGTGAATTTTCAATATTATGTCCCAGGTTTCTGCAATCAGTATTTTATTACCGAATTCTTTTATTTTCCACAGTTATTCTTTATACTTTTGCACCATATTATTCTCTATTCTTTTAATTTATTTGCTCATTATTCTCTATTCATTGTTATTTTAGGCCATTATTCTTTATTCTGTAAACCCATGCTTGATATCACTGCTCCTAATTTGTCTGGTGTTAAGAAAATATAAATGCTTTCTTTTTAAAAGATCTCTTTTCTCAATAAACACCAACATATCAGTCCTATACCGAATTATATACTATGTCGAAATAAGTTTGTTAAACCTTTGAAATAATATGCTAACAAAGCAACACAATGGACACTTGTGTAAAGCTGAAATTCTTAGGATAACCAAATTTTAAGGAGAGCATACATATTTATACTAATCGATTAATGTAATATGCATTCAATTAATTTCACTTCACTCTAAGATTTGACTTGGGTCTACAGAAATATGGTCACATCGCTTGGGCTTCTTCTGTCCGGTAGTAAAACCGAGGCTATGGTAAACAGGGATGTATAAATATAATGAGCCACGTCCGGCCAAATGGTGACGTTAAATTCAAAGCCTCGTATAGTGAGAGTATCACGATTTCTACATGCACGTTTAAGAACACTTGCAACAACTCTTACAGATGTCTGTAGGCGGTCCTGATCCTTAATTACTTGTGACCGATAGGAAATGAATAGCTGTAATTTTCTCTGCTTATGACGAGTATGCGAGTAAAGATAGATTGGAGTATAATAATCAGATTGCAAGCGTATCCTACACTTATGGCAGGAAATATCTTACTAGGAGCTCCCTGATTTAAGTAAACCAACTGTCTTTTAAGTTTTGTCATTGAAATTGTCTTTTCAGTAATACCTTTCACAACTGAGTTTTTTTTTAACCTCACTCCGACCTCCATTTACTTGCAAAATGAAATTAACACTTGATTGATTGATTGATTGGTTGGTGTTTGCTTTACGTCGCCTTAGCGCAAAAAGGCTATATCGCGGCGAGAGCTAATTCAAATATCTTTACAATTTAAAGTTGTTGTTTTTTTAATCAGACAAAAGGTCCTTCAATAAAATGAACACTGGTTAATTTCGTAGGTCCGAAGCACTATTCTGGATTAAACTTCACCAGGAACGCTCAAACCCAATCATTTGAAAGCTAAACATGTTTAAGACTTAAACACATGAAGAGCTTTATGACCAAAAGGGACATAAAAATAGCCAAATTCTTCTAAGGTCAACAGTGGCGGATCCAGAAATTTTCATAAAGGGGGTGGGGTGCAGTGACTGCCTAAGAGGGGCCCGCTCCAGTCATGCTTCAGTGATTCCCTAAAAAATCAACCAAATTTTTCCCACAAAAGGGGGGCCCGGGCCCCCTGGAAAACCCTCTAAATTCGCCTTTGGTCAACCGCCTTTGCTTGAGGTAGTTGGAACCTTAGCTTCTTTATATTTCATTAATTTATCAACGGAGATATTTTTTTTTCAAAGTTTGATCAAAATCACTACAGAGTTGATGATACACACGGGAATTACAGTCCACCAGCAGTGGTATCGACCAAATGCTTTTAAATGAAATTAACACAGAATAAATTTCGTGCGTCCGAAACACTTAAGCCAAAACATTTTAAAGCCAAGGTTATATATGCAAATGTATCAGACCTATAAACATGTGAAGAGCAAAAGGGACATACAAAAATGGCCAAATTCACCTAAGGTCAACTCTGCTTGAGGGAGCTGGAACCTTAATAAATATTCACAAAGTGTTATTGACTTGTGAACTAGTATTTTATTACAGCCGCTAGAATTGCTTCTTATATGAAAATAAAAAGATGTGCATGGTACGATTGCCAATGAGACAACTTTCCATCAGATACCAAATGACGTAAAAGAACAATTATTTCGATACTATAAATGGAGTTTTAAACAAACAAAAACAAACTTTCATACGTTGCACTGTAAAAATTGGTTAAACACGATCAAATAAATTCAAGAAAAATGTTGAAAAAACGAGCACCTTCAAATGCACATTCGTTGCTATACGCAATCATCATATATTGAACAGCACGAAAGATGGAATTTTATGTAAAAAGGAGGTTTCCCAATAAAATTCGTTTTTTTGTCACCGTTGTTGTTTGCTTAACGTGCCGGAGTGACAATTTTTTCGTGCATATTCAGGACGAGTAAACTTTTACAATAGTAGGTAGGCGACAAAAAGTGTCGATCGGGATGAAGGGCGGACAATTTGGAATGCAACTGAAAATGAGGGCATGTTGGATATGGGTGCAGACATTTTGCTTGCAAACTCAGTGGTCACACACGGACCCCTCGAAGTGTTTCGAAATAATTCTTTAAGGTACAGAGAGCGTGCCTGTCCCAAGTCAGGAGCCTGTAGAACAGTGGTTGTCATTGTTTCATGTCCGTCATATTTGTTTTTCGTAAATAGTTTTGAAATATATTAGGACGTTAGTTTTCTAGTTTGAATTGTTTTACATTTCACAAATGTCGGGGCCTTTTACAGACGAGTATACGGTATGAGTTTTTCTCATTGTTGAAGACCGTACGGTGGACTGTAATTGCTTAATACTAATCCATTTTAACTCTGGTGGATAGTTGTCTCATTGGCAATCATACCACATCTCCTCATTTTATCTTAAATGTGGCTATTAATTTTAGGTCCTTTTTGGTCATATAGCTCTTCATGATCAGCTGTTTCGGTTCTTATTCATCACTGGCTTTCAAATATTCGGCTTCGAGCGTTCCTGATGAAGGTAAATCCGGAAAAGCGCTTCAGACGCATGAAAAGCCCCCCCCCCCCCCCTCATTTTTAAAGCAATATTGGTATTGAATAAAAGGTTCAACAACAGAAATATTGAGATATAAATCAAATGCAGTATTTTTCATTTTCTTCCAATTTTTTATCTTACCCACATGGTTGACTTGGTTATAGAAATATGTCCATTCCTTGACTTGAGTTCCGTCGGGCAGTAAACATTTGCTTAGATGGTGTGCGAGATGTATAAATACGTAACCACGTCCTGTAGTTTAAGCATATTTTATTTGCTTACATATGCAAAAGGGATGAGACATATGTTATAACCAAACTTATAAAGTCTTCTCCAATGAACAG